ACGAAGAAATACACTTCATGCAGAAAATGAAAGAATGAAAAAGTGTAGAAAGAAATGATATATGTGGCATCTCACATCATTCAGAAGACGGAAGCATGAATAAGATAGAATTCACGAAAATTTCACAAAATCTAAAAACGTTGATCTGGTACATAGAAAAGAAAATCATTTCAACAAGCTTTTTAGTATAACCAACGGCTATTTTTTATCATGCAAACGCCGACATGACTTAGAGTATCGACGCCTCTAAATGAGCAAAGTCGTGCAGCAAAAATCTGTACAGTTGTAGAACATTTTCATTGTTGATTTCAAAACTGGATATGACCTGAATATTTGAAATATTTTCGACTTGTATTTCAGGCGCTGTGCAAATTATTCTGTAGCTCGATATAGCTCCGATAAACGACTAGCTATAATGACTATGATGTATTCTTCTTCTAACATGCAAATTAAAAGAATAAGCAGCGATCACTCACTATAGCAACTTCCATCTGGTTAATGAACTCACAAAGTGAATTGCTATTTTATTCTGTCTGTTTCAGTTTTTCTCAGAGAACTGCTTTACTTAGTTACTTATGAAACTGATATGCTTTGTCTCTTATTCTGCTGTTATTAGTTTTTCGATTTTACTTTTTTAATTTCATGTATTGTTGATTTGTCTCTTGATTCATATAATGTGTTTGTTGTCTTATTATTGTTGTTCATAGGGCGGGCGTTAAGTTTTTATAATTCATTTTATCTTCTTTCTTCTAATTTGTTAGTGATTCGCGTTTATCTGTCTTAATCAGTGTTAAATCGAACTCTACCAGCCATTTCTATAGAATATTTATCCAATCTTTCTTTTTCAAAACTGTAATATCTTCCTTAAATTATGTTTTCAAACTCTTTTCTCTTGGATCTTTTCTTACTTTTTGGTTGATTTTTAATTTATTTATGGTTCATTAGCCTTCTTTTCTATAATCATTTTAGTCTATATTGTGAAAACGTATCTTTAAATAGCTATCTTGTCTTATTTTGTTTTAACAATCTTAATTATTGTCTTGCAGATATTCTTTGTTTTTTTGTCCTTATTTCTTTCTTGTTGCCTAATTCTCTTTTTCTTGCTTACATCTTTCTGTTCTTTCATGCACATCCATTGAAATATTAAACCTTTCAATGTAATTGTTTTTTTGGTGAACGCTTTCTTTCTTTTCTTTCATTCCAGTTGCCAGCTTGTTTTATTACTGTTTCTCTCTCTCTGAATCACACTCGTTTTATATAAACTAGAGATGTATATCGCAGCTGAAAATCTGTTTGTGCCACTACAACATAAAAAATGAAATTCACAGTGTCAATGCCATTACGTAGAAGATATAATAGTTATTGTTGATTTACCCACTTGTGAAGGCCAATATTTGCGAAAAACAAAGCAGATGATAACAATAAAACTTCTCCAGCAACAACGGAATTTTAAAATTATATAGGGTGTGAGTGGATGTGGGTATGTGGGTTTGGGAATGTGGGTGTGAGTGGGTATACACTACCAGTAGACTACACGCACACCCACAGCCACTCACACATCACCCACAATCACTCACCCTCACGCACAAGCATACTCCAAAAAATCCTTAATACTAACCAATAAAGAATGAATTGTCTCATTCACGCTCGATATAAAGATAGAGAAAAAGGTAGCTCGCAGAAGAATACATTAAAAGCAGTCGATAAGGAATTCTGAAACACTGATTTTCTGAACTAAAGAATATTACAAGTATGTTTATTTTCGTCTATTCTATGGGACATGTCAATAAATCAAAGTGATTACCATTTCAATTTGTTTAAATCTGCTCAAAAAATGAAGAAAGTTAATGAAGTTGAAAGTTATAACTGCAGTGGATACTTATAACTCAATTACCTGTTTCATAGAAAAGTTGATCAGTTACAACTCGCCTAGTTTTAACTCCCACACTGACTTGGACTTTAAAAAATTGTTTTCATTGCAAGCAGAAAATTTTTCACAAATCGTCTTATTTGTTGCGTGTTGTGCATGAAAACAACCATTCTTGAGGATGCGAATGAAGGTGAGCTTTTTTTCTTTACTCATACTCTGGCAAACACCGGTCATATAGTTTAAATTTGAAAAAACTTTTTGAATTTTACAAAATGGATTTTTATCAAGGTTTTTTTATAATTTTTTTTAACCAAAACATTCACTAGAAAAAAAAGAGGCAGCTTTACATGCATAGGCCTGTGAAAAAGTGCCTCTAAAATAACAACATCGACGAGAATTCATTGGTATGAAAAGAATAAGTATATAAATCATCATGATATGCGCTAAAAAATTTGCTTTTGTAAAACTGCTTTTCATATTAGTTTAATATAGAGAGATTGAATCATTGGCAATAAGAATGCCTCATTGCATGTGTATAACTAAGATCATACATTTTCAGTTTTCGCCAATATCTGTTGCTCGATATCTAATTTGTTCGAGCTTGGATATAAGCAGATGTAATATCATCCTGAAAAAATTATTAGCAATTATAGTTGCGTAAATTACTCATCATAGATTGTTTCATCAAAAGATATCATTTATTTGATTTATTTTGATATTTATAGTTGATAAAATGTTCTACATTTAAAAATTAAAGATTATTAATAAATGAATTTGACATGTCAAAATTCAAATAGTTAGAAAATATATAAATGCTTTTTTTTATTATGTACTATTACACTAACACATTTTTTCTGTTACATAATCATAAACATACGAAACTTTTCAAAAAGTAAGATAAGGTGGATTACTATAGCTAAATCATAGTAATATTCATTATGTGTTACAAATACAATCAAAATAAAGATTTTTCAAAAAAATCATCTTCATGATTCTTTTGGAAATAGCAATAACTAACTATAGATAGAGATGTACCATGAACTTAACAACTATTTCGATAATTTATGAGTTTTATATTTTCTATTTCGGTAAAAATATTTTAAATCATTTTTAGTATAGCCATGCATGTAAATGTTTTTAGAAACTCAAGGATTCCCTCTATCAGTCTTGTCAACTAAATGTAATATTATTCGAAATAAGTAGCACTATATTACTTCATTATAATACCGCTCGATTTTTGTGTTCAAACACGTATTGTTCCTAACCCGTATGATAATATTAATATATTATAATAGTTCTATGAAAAAAGTTTTTTACAGCAGCTTAAATAAATAAAAAGACAAATGTTTTTAGTTTTTCGTCATTTTACGATGTTTCGATAAATTTATTATGGGTGTGGGTGTGGGGTGTGGGTGTGCGTGTGGGTGTGGATGTGGGTGTGGGTGTGGGGGGTGGGGGTGGGGGGGGGGGCGGGGGGTGTGGGTGTGTGGGGGGGGGGGGGGGGGGGGGGGGGTGGGGGGGGGGCGCGGTGTGTCGGCGGG